AAAGCCCATCTGTGTTAAGCATGTTGAACCTTTCACCATGCAGCTTTTCTAATTTTCCTGTTAGGAATCTCTCCATATGGAAGTGAGAAAACAAATTACATAAATTGCTAAGCTTGGAGAGGATTTTGCAGGGTGTCTGCCTCTGGCTATCTATTCCACAGAGTACTTCCTCATTAGTAAAAAAGAAAGTAGGAACCCAGTTAATAAGACTGGTATCCCTTCTCTTTAATGTTAAGCCAATTTCAGAATTTTTGAACCACAAGTCACAGACGCGATGCTTATTGCAAAATAAGCTAAGTGTCCCATGTTGTCAGTTATTTTAAAGAGATATAAAGCAAATATGAATTTAAAGGTAATATCTAATCTCAGAATATTTTACTTTTTTCTCAGGTTTAAAACTTATCAGTGTACACATAGTTTAACTGGGAACAGCGTAGTTCTTCACAATTTCTGATTTCCCCCACTGTGTAGCTCAAACCTCTTGAGCTTATTTCTCTCAAATATTTCTCTGGGCTTCCAAGTGGTTTCACTAGAAGGGTGGACTATTCATTGGGGCTCCTGGTGGCTGTGGAATCATCTCCCTCTGTACAGGTCCTAGGATCTAACATGCTCCCTCCCAGCATGGCAGCTGCTGACTCAGCATTCAGTACTCCAAAAACTGGTGGCCACTTGAAGACAACCCTACTGGAAACTGCCCGCCCTTGCAGGCTTGGTGGACCGCCCCTTGCTTAGAGAGTTCTGTCCCTCAAACAGAGAGATGTGGGAGCCATAATGCCTGCGATTGTGCTGTGTCAAGAGCCAACTACACTGTGGTTGATTAATAAATAATGGGTTGTTTATCTTGGAATTGTTTATATTGGCAGATGCTCTGAAAGATTCAAAAGCTGTCTGTAAGTGAAGAATGCCCTTTATTGTTTATTCAGTGCCTAATTTTCTATTTAATGTGAGGGTATCTTGGGTGAATTTCTTGAATATCAGACCACAAGTAAATCTTCTGCAGTTTTCGCCTCAAGTTTTATAGAGGCCATTTAACTACAACCTGTGGCTGCAAATCATCTCCAAGGCCTCTGATGTTTTATATGTGTGTGTGTGTGTGTGTGTGTGTGTGTCTGTGTATCTGTCTGTCTGTCTGTCTATCTGTCTAAATGTATGTTGGCATGTGTGTTTGTGGCTCCAGGGAGAAAGGGGGCAAAGGGAAAGAGGAAGCCTGGAGTGTTACCATCTAGTTTTGTCCATCACAAATAGCTGAAATAAACTTAAGAGCATTTCTGTTTGGTTGACTGTGTCTAGCACAAGATAGCAGCTGAGAAATCAGATAGGAATGTGTGCACAGTGAAAGGCACATGTGCGGAGTGGATCGGAGGGTTGACACAGGGGATAGAGGATCACCAGGTGACAAGAGGAAGAGAGAAAGTGTATTTTGTCAGGGGAAACAATATGTTTGAAGGCTTGTTGCATGGCCAGCAGCAGTGCTCAGTAATGCTCAGCATAAAACACTGTAGGAATGGCTGGGGAAATGAGGCTCAGGTGATGAAAATCCTGAGTTCTGTCCCTCAAACAGTAATAAATTCCTGCAGGGTGTGTACCTGTGGCAACAGGCTCATCCTGTCTTACCTTTGTTGGTCTCTGCTCAGATGTTCTCAATATCCACCAATTGAGTGGTTTGACAAATTGGTCTAATTTAATATAAAGATAGCAGTTACTGTTAAGTGGGAAGGAAGGGTATTTAAGAGGACACTGACTTTGTAAGTGGTCATTTTATTAGTAATATTTTCATGTGAGAGTAGTACAATGGGAGGGACTCATCATAAAGAGACCCGCATGTGTAAAGAGTGAAGGAGTTTTGAGAAAGGCTTTTTGACTTGTGTGAAAGGAAGATGAAAAAACCCGGTGGACTTTTTGTCTAACATACCATTGCATCCCCGCAGAGTGCCCATCTATTGAAGGGCATCTATATTGGTTCCACAGTGTTTAGGGGTGCTGGTTGAACATAAATTGCATAAGACAGAGCTGTAGTGACATAAGATGTTTTAAATCTTTTTTAAAATATGACAGCAGAATGCATTTTGATTCATTGTATACAATTGCAGCACAACTTTTCATTTCTCTGGTTGTACATGATGTAGCATCGTATCGTATGTGCCGTATCGTATGTGCAGTCATACATGCACCTAGGGTAATGATGTCCATCTCATTCCACCATCTTTCCTGCTTCCATGCCCCTTCCCTCTTCTCCCTCCTCTTTGCCCAATCACAATTTCTCCATTTTCCCCATGACCCTCCCCCATTACAGATCAGCATCCACTTATCAGAGACAACATCTGGCCTTTGGTGTTTTGGGATTGGCTTACTTCACTTACCTTGATATTCTTGAACTCCATCCATTTACCTGCAAATGCTGAGTAATATTCCATTGTGTATATATATATATATATATATATATATATATATATATATATATATACCAAAGTTTCTTTATCCATTCATCTATTGAAGGGCATCTAGATTGGTTCCAAAGTTTAGCTGTTGTGAATTGTGCTGCTATATACATTGATGTGGCTGTGTCCCTATAGTATGCTGTTTTTAAGTCCTTTGGGTATAGACCGAGGAGTGGGATAGCTGGTCAAATGGTGGTTCCATTCCAAGTTTTCTAAGGAATCTCCATACTGCTTTCCAGAGTGGTTACACCCATTTGCAGTCCTACCAGTAATGCATGAGTGTGCCTTTTCCCCCACATCCTCGCCAACATTATTTGTTGTCTGTATTCTTGATAACTGCCATTTTGACTGGCATGAGATGAAATCTTAGAGTACTTTTGACTTACATTTCTCTAATTACTACAGATGTTGAACATTTTTTCATATATTTGTTGATCAAAAGTATATCTGAGAAGTGTCTGTTCAGCTCTTTACCCCATTTCTTGATCGAGTTGTTTGTTTTTTTAACGCTAAGGTTTTTTTTAGTTCTTTATATATTCTGGAGATTGGTGCTCTATCTGATATGCCTGTGGCAAAATTTGCTCCCAGAATGTAGGCTCTCTTTTCATCTCACTGATTGTTTCTTTTGCTGAGAAGACGCTTTTTAGTTTGAGTCCATCCCATTTATTAATTGTTGATTTTATTTCTGGCGCTTTAGAAGTCTTGTTAAGGAAGTCAGGGCCTAATCTGACATGATGATTTGGGCCTTCTTTTTCCTCTGTTAGGCTCAGGGTCTCTGAATAATTCCTAGGTCCTTGATCTACTTTGAGTTGAATTTTCTGCAGGGTGAGACAGGGGTTTATTTTCATTTTGTTGCATTTGGATTTCCAGTTCTCTCTTACCATTTGTTGAAGAGGCTATCTTTTATCCAATGTATGTTTTTGGCGCCTTTGTCCAGTATCTCATATAACTTTGTCCAATTATCTCATATAACTGTATTTGTATGAGTTTGTTTTTGTGTCTTCCGTTCTCTGCCATTAGTCTACATGTCTATTTTGGTGCCAATACCATGCTTTTTTATTACTAGAGCTTTGTGTAGTATATTTTAAGTACTGGTATTGTGATGCCTCCTTCTTCACTCTTGTTGCTAAGATTGCTTTGGCGATTCTGGTTCTCTTCTTTTTCTAAATGAATTTCATGATTGCTTTCTCTTTCTATAAGGGATGACGATGGGATTTTAATTGGAATCACATTGAATCTGTATAGCATTTTAGGTAGTATGGCCATTTTGACAATATTAATTTTGCCTATCCAAGAGCATGAAAGATCTTTCCATCTTCTAAGGCCTTCTTCAATTTCTTTCTTTAATGTTCTGTAGTTTTCATTGTAGAGGTCTTTCATCTCTTTTACTGATTCCCAAACATTTTATTTATTTATTTATTTTTTGAGGCTCTTGTGAATGGGGTAGTTTTCCTAATTTCTCTTTCAGAGGATTCATCACTGATGTATAGAAATGCATTTGATTTATGGGTATTGATTTTATATTCTGCTACTTTGCTGAATTCATTAATTAATTCTAGAAGTTTTTTGGTAGAGTTTTTTTGGATCCTCTAAGTATAGGATCATGTCATCAGCAAATGATGATAATTTGAGTTCTTCTTTTCCTATTTGTGTTTTAAACTTTATATGCACTTTCTCAGTACCGCTGCCATTCTACTTCACAAGAGCCAAAAGTTAAAACCAATTGGCCAAGCAGTGAAAACATCTGCTGATATGGATTAAAACCTGGAATGAAACTCATTTATAGTGCTTCAGTTTTAATACAAGATGGAACTTGTTAGAGCTTTAGAAGATATACACAAACAACAATGAAAGGATTTTTTTTTCAATTGAGTTTATTGAATTTGAGTATATTATGAAGAAAGAGACAACAGGACTTGCATCTGAAAAAGTTTCCATATATTTTGAATTAATAAAGCTCACTTATTTTTTAAATAAATCTTATTGTGTATTTTTAAGGTATACTACATGGCACATAACTAAGTCTCTCAAACACACACACAGAGTCTCAAATGGTTAATACAGTTAAAATTAATATTTTTATCAGCTTATCTATTATTTATTATCTATTATTTATTATCTATTATCAGCTTTATTTATTTATTATCTATTATAAGCTTATTTTATCAGCTTATCTATTATTTTTATCAGTTGACACATTTTTCTCCTGTGCCAACAACAGCTGTCATTCACTTATTTGACCAAAATTCTCAATACGGGGATGGGTATTTACAGTGGTTAAAGCGCTTGCTCAACATACACAAGGCCCTGGCTTGGTCCCCAGTACCACAAAAGCAAAAACAAAACAAATTTCTAATAAAATAGAAAGAAATCCCAAATATACTACACTATTATGAACTGTAATACTCATGTTGTATAGTGGGTCTTACACTTGTTCATCCTATGTAGTTGCTGCTTTGTATCTCATTTTCTTAAGCAATCCATAGTGTATATGTGTGTTCTGGGAGTTGAATTTACTTAAGTTGAATGTTGAAATTAGAAATTCTTTATTTTGTTTTTTAGGTGCTGGTGAATCAGGGAAAAGTACAATAGTGAAGCAGATGAAGTAAGTAGATTTAAAACATTGAATTTTTTTTTTTTTATGTTTTAATATACCCTTCATCAAAGAAAGTGCTTTTTCTTTGCTTTCATTTCATTAGAATTATCCATGAAGCTGGCTACTCAGAGGAAGAATGTAAGCAGTACAGAGCAGTGGTCTACAGTAACACCATCCAGTCCATCATTGCTATCATTAGGGCCATGGGGCGGTTGAAGATAGACTTTGGTGACTCGGCTCGGGCGGTAAGTTATTTTATTGCAGTAGGCTTGATAAGTAAAAAGAATAACTTGTTAACTAATCAGGACTCTTTTATACAAGGAGTCAAAAGGGTAGACGTGAGTCAGGAGCTTTAGAAGTAAGTGAAATGAACATATACAGAATTATACTTCATGGTTATACTTACCTTATCCATCAGGTAATTTGGATAATTCAATAATTATTATTGACTGCAATACTTTCTATATAACATGTATCAGGTACCTCTGTTTTTGTATTCATTGGTTTTCTATTACTGTAAAAAAATACCTGGCATAATCAACTTAAAAGGAGAACATGTCTATTTTGCCTCACAGTTTCAGAGATTTTAGTCCTTGTATGGTTGGCCTGTTGCTTTGGGCCTATAGTGAGGAAATACATCGTGGTGGTAGCAGGTAGCCAAGGAAGCTACTCACCTCATGGCAGCCAAGAAGTGAAAAGAGAGAAAAGAAAAGATCAGTTTTCCATGATCCTATTTAAGGGCATGCCTCCAGTAACCTAAGACCTCCCATTAGGCCCTACCTCCCAATTGTTCCACCACCTCACAATAGCCCCATGGGCAGGGGTCCAGGCCTTTAGCACATGTGGCTTTAGGGGACATTTCAGATACAAACTGTAGCAGTCCCCATAACAATATTTTTGTAGTTAATACGTTGTAAACTGCTTACACTAACACTATTTAAAATCTGTTCTTATAATTTAGAATTCTGAAATGACCTACTTATTTGTATTCATGCCCAGACTATAAAGAAATCTAATCTTTAATAATGAAAACAGTGCAAAAGTTTGCTTATCTTTGGAATAGGAAAGTATTGGCTACTAAAAAACATGTATCAAATTTAAGAGCTAAAGGGGACCTTTGAAGACAAGCTAGTTTCACTCCTTTATTTTCCTAATAAAGAAAAACTGAAACCCAGGAAATATTACAATCTAGAATGATCAAGGCTCTGTGCCTGTGCTTCTTTCTTTGACCCAGTAATTTGTTTTCAGTTTGATTCAAAGCAATACTGGTTGGTACTGTCCACAAAACATTGTTTTTTCCCCAGCTCCCATTTGATTGTTTGCTATTTGAGTACTTTACTGATTCTTTTTTAGTAACTGTTATAAAACTTGATGAAAAACCTTTAACTGAAGCCTAGCTTTTTTTTTTTTGCACAAAGTATGTATATTATTAATAATACTGTGCTGCATTTTTATAGTTCTTTTATCTTTTTATGTTGTGTGTGTGCGCACACAAGCACACACATATGTCTCCTTACTAATACCATGAAGATTTTCTGCATAGAGACTATAACTTTCTGTCTTACAGTTTGTTGTTGTTGTTGTTGTTTTCTTTTAACATACAGCGAAATTCATGATTAATAAGAAAGGAAAATGAATAAAACCCGTATTAGGAAATATAGGTTAGAGAAATCTAAAATAAACTGGGCTTGTTTATGAGTTACTTTAAAATTTTCTTATAAGTTACTGAGTCATGTTAACTTACTCAGTTTTTCCTTTTAAACAAAAATTTTAAAGGCTTTAGCATGTTAATTAAAATTTTCATATAGATTTTAAGATCCATTTTAAGAACAAATTTTATTTTTTGAGATTTATGACATTGTTATTAGATATGTATACATAGTAATATTGGTACTATAATGAAATAAATTAACTTACATATCATCTCACACTGTGTGTGTGTTGGGGATGGGGGAGGCAGCTACAATCTTATTTAACAAAAATCCCTCTTTCAGTTTAATTAGCTATAGTCCTCATGTTGTCAAAAAGAAAAAAAATAACAGATTTTGGTGAGGATGTGGAAAAGAGAGAACCCTAGTGCACTCTTGGTAAGAATGCATATTGACTCATCCATTATGAAAACAGTAGGAAGTTTCTAAAGAAATTTAAAAAAATTATGATCCAGTTATCACTCTTCTGGGTATAAACCAAAAGGAGACAAAATAACCATTTGATTATGTTATCTGCAGTTCTGTGTTCATTGCATTGTTTATTCAAAATAGCCAAGATAGGGAAACAACCTGTCAGTGGACAAATAGGTAAAGAGAATGTGATGTGTGTACACATGTGGGGAGACACACACACACACACACACACACAATGGAATATTGTTCAGACTTCGGAAAGTTTTTTCCTCAACATGGATGAACCTGAAGGATATTATTTAGTGAAATAAAGCCAGATACAGATAAAAATTTTGCCTGATTTCATTTACATGTAGAACTAAAACCAAGAAAAGTCATCTGTGCAGAATTAGAGAATAAAACAATGATCACCAGGGGCTGGGTGCAAGGGAAGGGGGAGACATAGGTCAAAGGGGACAAAGTAGGAGATGTGTAGGATGAAGGAATCTGGAGATACAATGTACAATAGAGGACTGCAGGTCATTTAAAATAATGTATTCATTTATAATTTGTTCACTCAACACATGTCCAGTAAACATGTGTTGAATGAACAAATGATAAGTGGATAAATTACAGATTGAGTAGTAGGACAGTACATTGAATAATGTATCAGTATTCTGGACATATATTTCAAAAAAAAATTCAGAAGAATGTTATAAACTATTAAAATAATCTTAAAATCTTAGAAATGTTAATCACACTTAACTTTTTAATCTTTGTGTAAAAGGAGTACATATAAGGACTCTACTCTTAGATTATGGAGAAAGAATTAATAAAATTTATACCAATTCCAGTTCCAATTATGGTATTTGAAACATTTTTGTCAATAATATATGCAGTATTCTGCATTCAGATCTTGTATATGGCTATGAAAACAAGATTTGTACCCTATATGGTGGGAGCTAATGAAGGTTCAGTACAAGGGCACTCTACCACCGAGCTGCATCATCAGTCCTTTATTTTTTTATTTATTTATTTTTTTTGAGACAGGAGTTCTACTAAGTTGCCCAGTCTTGCCTTGAATTTGTAATCCTCTGCCTTAATTGAGTTGCTGGTTTATAGGTATGTGCCACTATGCCTGGCTAGTGCAAGCAACTTTGAAAGAGGATTTTTTTTTTTTATATTATTCTCTCTCTCAAGGAATGTTATTTTCTTACACCTCCATCACCTTTTTAATTAATTAAAAATTAATTAGTTAATTTCAGCTTAGTTTCAGGAATGACCAGGAATAATCCCTTACCATACCATAATCCCTCACCATAAGCCTTTTCTTATCTTTTTCTTTTTTAGTTGGTTACCTGCGGTTTTGGAATCTAATATGGCCTGCTCTGCATCTATTTCTTCCTCCTCTCAGACCCTTACTTCTGTTGGCCTTTGTGGTCCCTATTAACTCATCCACACAAACACCTATCCTCACATTGTTTGTGATTTGACTCCTCCCTGTTGGGTTGCCTTGCCTCTCTACAGGGCTCTGAAGAACCACTAGGCCCTCAAAGTTATGCTCAGGGATGTGTAGATGGATTCACATTGGACTGGAGGTGGGAAGGGAAGTTGAGCTGAGTATTGAAATAGGAGTAAGAGTTTTCTAGACAAATATAAGGAAAAAGCAATTAGCAAATAAGAAACAGTTTATTCACAGGCAGTCTGAATATATTCCTATTTCTGAAGTATCAGTTCCTAGAAGTATTAGCCCTAAGTTGAAGGATAACAAGATATTGAATTCTGGTCAGTGCCATAGATTTGCTTTACAACCAGAAGCATTGTAGCAACTGTTTCTCCTGTTAACCTCTCTTAGTCTTCTTACATTGTTCTGTTAAATTACTTGTCCTTTTCAAGTGTGTGTGTGTGTGTGTGTGTGTGTGTGTATGGCAAATATTTTTTCCAGTGTTTTTGAAAAACTTCTTGTTAGAGACCTGGGGTTTTATTTTGTTTTTGTTTTTCAATCAGTTCTAACTTCTGTGTTCCGACCTTCATAGAAAGATAGTCTTCATGTTACAATTATCTTTAAATTTTCATATTTTTCTAGAATGCCTAGTTTTGTTTTTTATATATATTGTTTTGTACACCTCCATGGAAATAGTGTTTGTCAGTAGTTAAGATCTGAATATATCTTGTAATCTAATTGATTCTTGCCAGTAGCCATTTTTAAAATAATCATCCCATTTAGGTAAAAATGCTGCTTTAACATTTGATTTGGACACCTTTTTTTCCCTACTGATAATTTGTTTTTTCTTTACCCAGTCATCTACTAGTTAAGTTAATTAACCTCTCTAAGCATGTTTCATTAGAAGAGAAATAATAATAACATCTAATTTGCAGGGTTGTTAGGAATAAGACAAAAAGAATATCAAGTGTTTAACACATTCTGGTCATAATAGATGCCCAATAAAATGTTTGTTGGTTGTTTTATTATTTACAAGTTTTATACAGTCATTATGGTCAGAATCACATTATTTTGACTTCTGTTGTTTCATAGGGTTAATTGGCATCTAGCAGGTTAAAATCACCTCATCCTGTTGTTGTTTTTAACCAGATATCAAGCTTTTAAGCATTTCTATTCCATGTGAACTTGAGAATGAATTCTCCTCAACTCTCTTGAAAACAAAACATTTTAAAAACCCAGTTGATATTTCGATTGGAATTACATCTTAAATGTAGAGTGATTTGGTGAGAATTGGCTAAAAAGGTGTAAAATTTTAAGAAATAATGACTAATGTGCTATGGTTTGCATCATATGTGGCAGTTAGTAGATTTGCAAAGCAGATTATACATTAGTTATTTAAAATGAGAGAAAAGAATTTTTCAAGGCTGGTATAGAGCAATCAAATTTTATACCCAATGTCTTTTTAAAATTTCCTTGAAATGAGGGTGGTTCGTTTTTGAATAATAACATATTGACAATATAGTCTGTTATATTTCTAATAATGTTAAGCTGGAGGGTCATTAGTGTGCCTCAGGTACTGGTTACTTAGAACACTGTTGCACAAAATGTGATCAGTGGACCAGTGCCTGTCCCAAGAATGTGTATAAAATGAGAAGTAAGGGTAAGTATGTATATGGATTTATAGAAATTGACAGTTATA